ATAGTGGCTGTATGTAGGGCCATGACACGCAGACCACTGCATGTGCAAACAAGGGTACACATGGGACTGTGGGAGTAGAGGAAAAAAAAGAAAAAAAAAGAAAAAAACTACTATTCAAAGAACAGTTTTGATTTGGGCAAAGGTAAAAAGCAAGGAAGATATTGCATGATGGGAGCAATATTTCCCCACGCTTTCTTCTGCTATCTCTGCAGACATATTCACCTGTCAATAAGTCCACACACTCCTACTAGGCGCACGTATTGATGATTATTCAATCTCATTTTCATTTGGTCGCAGAAGTCGGAGACCAATTGAACCCCTTTGTCCTCTTGCATCAGAAAAAAGGGATAAAATAGAAGAACCCTTTGGAATGCTTATATTTTTAACCACTGGTTTCTCTGTTTGACCCACGGGTTGTTTTCCTTGTACTTATAACTAAACCTTCATTCTTATCTCATCATCCTTTTCATTGATCCTCTCGCATGTGAGGCTATTTAGTCATAAAGCAACCTCTCACATATGAGCTTCTTATCTCATCATCCGTGCATTTACTGAAAAAGTGAGCATATATTCATCAAATGATTGAGTATTCGAGCATTGGGAAACAGTAGGTTTGATTTGATTCCATTCCAACAAAAAGTAACTAACTTGCTATTATTATCATCCAATCTGATCCAGCAACTTCATCAATTTTGAATTTGGGTCTTCATAAACTCTCTGAGCTAGTATAATTTATGGCCTTCTCTAAAGTTATTAGCATAGGACAAAGCCCAAAAAAGTCGCAGAAAACTTGTAAATAAAACATAATATGCAATAAACTCTATTAAAATGTGATAACAAATCATTACAGTTTTGCAGGTTTATATATCTACCAGGAGGAAGCTTAACAAAATACTTTAGTGTGATTTGGATCTCGCAGATTCCCAATGTATTTCTGCAGACATGAGTTCATGAAGAAAGCGAAAAATTTTGGAAACTGTTCACATAAAAATGTATGTGCATCTTACTACTATTGGCATAAACCAGTACTGCTAGTTGCAGCATCTGATACATTCACAATCAATCTCTATAACTATACTGTATAGTGATTGATTTATGAGCAGGGAGTGACAGAAGAATTGGACCTTTGGTTATGAGTATGACCCCCCACGTCTATGCTCACTGATCAGAAGGCGTTGGGGGAATGGAATTGGCGCCTACTGGTCAGTTTGGGAGGGTTCAAATGTCTCTTTAAGGCCATTCCTTGTTGTGGTCCATATTTTGTAGTAGTTATTGGGTCTGTTCAGTTGAGCTTTTTTCCATGTAAAATATAGGTTGTTCAGAGTTTTGCTTTTTTGACTCAACCAAGTTCTGTTCTTCTTCAGATTGCAGATATGTATCGTACATTCCTGCTTCACCGTGACAGAAATTTAAATAAGTGAAGCGTCTGCAGATGGGTTTCCTCTACAATCCATAGAGTTAAAACTGAATACCTCAGGGTCTCTCTTCTCTCTCTTATTATTATTATTTTTTTCACTATGCAGTTTTTTACTGTGACTCAGAGAGAGAGGAGTAAGACGGTTAAGCAATACAATATGACGGTTAAAAAAAAAAAGAGAGAAGAAAAGAACATTCCATACATGGGAGAATTTTTTAACCATTTCTTTTCTCTTTCTTGAGACTGCTGAATGAGCTTTTGGTTTCTTGTTGAAGAAGGGTTTCTTGTAGTTCTGTTAGATTGGAAATTTAGAATGTGCAGATTTCATGCCTTGAGTACTTAGTTTGATGATCAGAAGCATTAATTATGTCTAGGCCTGGCAAACTGACGAGTAGAAGCCGGCTATTCAAGTTGTTTTTGAAGATGGGTTCCATACAATGTGTTATATATATTCATTAATTGTTTTTAACAGTTAGGTTGTCTGTCTTGCAGATAAGATATATAGGCCTCTCCTTTTTTTTATTTCTTTTTTTTTCCCCCTTTCCGGTTAATGATGATGTCTATAATGTAATTGTAAACTACTAATATAAATTTATTCAGCAATCTTGAATCTCCGAACGATTTATTTCAATTTATTACAGTGCGGTGACTTACTTTCCATGTCGAGAATGATAAGTTTTCTGATTTAGCGGAACTCATTTTGGAGGTTAATATTATTAAACAATGGAATAAACACTCTTTGTAGTATATGTTAATAACTATGATTTTATTATTCACAAATGAATCCTTCTTATTTGTGTCTTTTTCCAAAAAAAAAAAAACAGACGTCTGAATGTGATTGCATTACAATCCTTTTCCATTTCCTAACTTGATAGGTCGTGCTAATGCCATCTAACCTAACTCACTTGAATCTGGTTCCTCAGGAAAAGGCCTCCCTTTATAAACACACACACACTTTCTATTAACTGGACGACAAGCAACATCAAACTAGGCTTTCTGGCTTATAACTGTGACAGTGCATGATGGTATAAACACTATTCATATTTTTTCGCAAAGAAATGAAAGTACCTTTAAATTGCAGATATATAAAATAATAATCCTGCTGCAAAGCTGGCTGGCTAGCTAGTTAGCCAAGTCTCCATTCTATATTACTGTTCAAAGTCATCCGATGGGTCACTCAGGTGTTAAAAATAAGAGAGAGAGAGAGAGAGTTGGGTCCATCATATATTATATGTATCATATTTTTGTTCATAAGAGTTGAAATAACAGGAAATGTGAGACCAAAGTGGGGAATAATATAAACAGGAAAGAGACAAAGAAGAGCAGGTGGGGAAGGAAAAGAATGGAATGGGATTCATCATGAACTGTTATAATTAGTTGAGGAAGCAGAAGGATGAAAACTGTGTTGGCCTCGTCAAGTCAGCCTCAGGTTCTAAACTGAAAAACCCAGGTGGCTACTAGGCTTAAACCCTCTCTCTCTTAACCCCATTTACCTCATTAATAAAATAATCAGCACAGTGATGTGGGTGGATGGTGATAGACAGAGAGTGGAAGGGAAAGAGAAAGAACTCAAAGAAAGAGATTATAATGGAGGAAGAGAGAGAGAGAGAGAGAGATTGGGACGGGTTGATGGGGTAGCTATGCCTGCTTGGTGTTCCCTTTCACTTACAAACGTTATTACAAGGAGGTAACAAGAACATTAGAGGAACAGACAGGACCATGTTTTTGCAGGAAAATGACGAGTTGGGTGGTTTTATTACTTTTGGGGCTGTGACATGAAAGCTGTCTCATCCTTTCCCTCCACAAACCCTAACTAAGCCCACACATCTACACATTTACTCGCTCACTTACTCACACATGACGCTGCTGTTGTCATTTTTGAGAGGGACAGCCTATACCCCCTGCAACCCCATCAATGGAGAGAGAGAGACCCTCCTCCTCCTCCTTCTTCACTTTCTCTCACTCTCACACGTGTGACTGACTTGTAATCATTTCCTATAAGTAGACATGCTGTAAAATTGTAAATATGCCCAACCGTGTTCCGAAGCCCAACCTTTACTTGTCATAGCTATTCACTTGTGTGAATTTGACTATTTCATAGCCAGTTCAGCACCTCCCCCCCTCTCAATAGACGCTCACATACTTTAAATTTTATGCAGTCATCAAATAATACAGGTTTAGGCTTTAGGTCTTAGAAATATTTCATCTCTTGAGGGTTTGTTTGGGACAGTTTAAAACAGTTTATAAATAGTTTTTTTAAAAATAATTTATAAAATATAAGATAAGTATGTGAGAGAAATTTTATCTTGATTTACATAACATGTACTTATAGAGAATTTCTACTACTAGCCTAAACAAGCACTAAGTTGGTTGGAAGGGGGAAGGATATTCTAATAAATTTAATTTGTAAAAATAAAAAAAGTAGGATTAAAAGTTATTAATTAGTTTTATTTTACTTATTGTATTTTGTCTTGTCTTTTCTGTTTCATTTACATAAGTTCAAAATTTATTGACATGGTAGGGACATTTTCTTTAGAAATAATAAAGTGACCTATACATTGAACATTGGAAAACAAGTTTTAATTCATGAGATTATTTTCATTTAAAAAAAATTATATTAGAGAATATTAGTAAAAAATTGGAAATTAAAAATGTATTTATCTTCTCAACGAAAACGCTGTAATTGACTTCATCATAAAATAATAGACATATCAAACATATAAGCTGGATCCAATTGATATTAAAAAAAAATCATGAGCATGCATAATAAAACTTATTTCACATTGCATGTAATGTATTATGTATATGTGTGTCTGGATATGATCAGATTATAACATGTATAAAAATTATAAGCGCAAATATTTGAAAGAATTATCATAAAGTCATAAAAAGAAATTAATCATTGAGAAACAAATGACCAGTATAAATATATTTTCACCGCTTACTTAAAACTTATCATTGCAAATATTTTTTAATTATTAATGAACTTTAAAATAACTAAATTTTTTAAAAAAATTGATTGTAATTCTTTCTAAATATTTTTATAATAAAAATAATATTATTGCGAAAATTTTTATTAATCATAGAATGTAGAATTCTTCTTACTTAGCTTGCAGTTTTCAAGCTGACCTCCTCTATGTAGTTAGTCCTCGGTAATCAGAAATTTTGGCCGAGCACTGCAGCGTCAATGAGAAAGCCCGGTTTGTTAAGTCATTCTGGGTGGGTCCCCCTTCTCTCTCTCTCCACCCCTTCCCCTTTCTCCCTCCCCATATAGGAGCCATCGGACGAGTGAGAGGGTGGGTTTGGGACTGTGAGGAGAATCCGTGTAGGTCTCTGTTGGAAGGCTTTAAACAACTTTAGCTGTTTTTGCTGTTTCAAGTCTTCACTCACTCGCACGATTCCTCACTTCTTCTTCTTTATCTTTGGCATTGTCTCTCAAAAGTCTCAAACTTTGCTTCTTCTTATGCTACACTATTTCTCATGCATTTATAAACATAAACATTCTCCCATGTTCTTTCTATTCGGGCATATGACTTCAATATAACCCTTCCATCACCAGGATTTCTGAGATATTAAGGAAGAAATGAAGGCAGCTTGGCCGAACTGCCTCGTATATGCTTCACAAGAGCACTCCAATCCTCTTACCTCTTCTGATCTCTCGTCTTCTTCTATGGGGATGGTGTATGCAGACATGGGTTCTCTTTCTCTTTCTTCTTCTTCTTCTGAAATGGGAAATAACAACACTGGGGGCACAACCTGGGGTACTTTTCCCTTTATTAGGGATCGCCTTCCTAACAATAACACTGGTGCCACTGATAATGATAATGATGCTTTGGAGTGTAAAGCTTCTGATTCTAGTACTGATCACGAGAATCTGATAGATCATACCCAAGAAAACCCTAATGAGAATTCTGGTGTCAGTACGGGAAAAGAAGCTGATTCTGGGCAGTCCAAGCTTTGTGCACGAGGCCATTGGAGGCCTGCAGAAGATGCCAAGCTCAAGGAGCTCGTGGCTCTCTATGGCCCTCAGAACTGGAACCTTATAGCAGAAAAATTGGAAGGAAGATCAGGTTCGTGAGATTCTTTTATAAAATCATACTCGTGACATCAATGCATGTTTTAATTTCCTGTGAGATTGCGGTGTCTGATTTTGCATATTGTTTTGATTTGATCTGTGAATTGCCGAAGGTAAGAGCTGTAGGCTGAGGTGGTTCAACCAGCTGGATCCAAGGATAAACAGGAGAGCATTCACTGAAGAGGAAGAAGATAGGTTAATGCAGGCACACAGGATATATGGGAACAAATGGGCCATGATTGCTAGGCTATTCCCAGGAAGAACTGATAACGCAGTGAAGAATCACTGGCATGTTATAATGGCCAGGAAGTACAGAGAACAATCCAGTGCTTACAGAAGAAGAAGGATAAGCCAAGCAGCTGCAAGTTTCAGAAGATCATCAATGGAGGACCAAAATTCAAGCTTAGCAGCCACATCAAGTAGAGGCAGCTCAGGGACAGAACCCCCACCACCAGCTCCTCAACCTTACTGTCTCGTCCCCAATAACAATAACATAATGGCTAGTTTCCCATATGCTCAGTTCCGTGGAGTTAATGGTGGCGTTGACTATGGCTTCAATGGTTCACCCCACATGACTGGTGGATTAGAAGCATTCTCCAGCACAAGCAAGCAGGCCCCTCATACTCACACCACGTTTTATGCTCATCGTCCATCTTTTGATGTCATCTCAGGTTTGTCCTTTTCACCCACCATTCGTTTATGATACTTGTTGGGATCATCAGATCAACCCCATATAAGATTTCTTATCTTTGCTTACCTTGCTGATATGACACTGACACTTTTAAGTCTGGCACTACCTAGCTTTCTCTAATAGGTTGCCCTTTCTAGTTCCCAACAAGTTTAAAGACCTTAGCTTTTTCAAGCTTTGTGTGATGTGATCTCATATATGTAGGCAGAAAATTTATATTAGCTTTCTGGGTTTGAGTTTTGCAGGTGTTAGAGGCAATGACATGGTGGGAGGGGCTTTCGGCCAGAGTATATATAGGGAAAGCAGACCAAGTGATTATGAACTTCGTTCTCTCAATGGCTTCTTATACCCTCAAGAAGATCGTTTCAACCCATACATGATGCCAACAATGCAACAACCACCGCAGTCAAACTCAAACATGAATCCCACTTTTCACAGCTTCTCATCAAATTCCATGGCTCCAAATGCTTCCTCCGCTGAACCATCATCATCAGAGAGCAGAGATAAAGTATTGGGGCGTCCTTCTACTCCTCCATATATCGACTTTCTCGGGGTAGGAGCCACATAGCATGATATCAAAGTCGAGTTACGGAAGGAGGAGGAGGAGAACCAATCAGCCACTAAGCCAAACTTAGCAGAAGAAAAAAGAAAAAAAAGCTGCGAACTTTCCCAGAATCCTCAATATAGATGTGGCCCAACAATTCCAAGAAGCCATTAGAGGTAAGCAGAAAGGATAGTTTAGCCCAGTTTGGTCCCTGTGTAGCTTGCGTCACTTCTGGTTAAGATCCTCCAATCTGTTGCGATTTCCTTTCCCGCATGGGGGACCCCAAAATAATAATAATAACAATTTAATGTTTTTTTTTTGGGTACTTTATCAACTTTTTTCACTTTCGATTTATTAATGATTTTGTCCGAGACATTCATTCTTGCCCAGGGAATCCAAATAGTTTGGCTACTTGATTTCCAAGGGGAAGGTACATATTAAGAACAAGTTAGGACCATAAGAGGTAGTGATTGTCGTTTTTATATTGCAAGGCTTCTAAGCAGGGCTTTGTTGGTTTGGCTTGTCATGTCAAGAGGAAGAGAGAGAAATAATGATTCATCAAAAAGAGTGGACGATGAAATTGTTGAAGGAAAAAAAAAAAAAGAAAAGAAAGGGATGTTAAAGATGGGAACTGTGGAGAAGAACATCATCCTTTTGTGATGGCCCTGCAAAATGCAATAAGTAAAGGCACAAATTTAGCAAACTGTAACTTAAAATGAGCATTCATGATAATGTGCAAACTGTTCAAACATCCTTCTTCTCTCTCTATCATCAGCAGAATCTTTCAGAGAATTCATTCATGCCACCCACATGGCTGCCTGGTGTGCTTTTGTTTAATGTTTTTTTAAAACTCTTTGTTAGTTATTATTAGCACAGTCTCTATGAGACACGACATCTTTCTTTACTGATGCAGGTTCTATTTTTCTTTATTATTTAATTCACTGAGGACGCGGGTTCTATTTTTCCGATGGCATTCTATAAGAAAAACAAACACCCCCCCTTTAATCTTCGGAAAAAAGTTATCATCTTTAGATCATAGACTTAAGGTAAAACAAACAAACGAAACGGTACCTCGTACGGTTTGATGGTTGAGAGGAGAAGCTCGTTTTAGATTTGCGCTGTGAGCTGTTTGGAGGATTTATTATGTGGTCGAGGAAGATTCGGAGGATCTGAGTATATGTTTCTGTCAATAAAATCTGATTACGACTGTTAAAATTTATGTGCGTGTGTTGCTGTCTTATAATAACTCCCTGTTAGCGAAACAAGCTCATAAATTTCTTTAGGCCGAAAAAACACATGCTCTCTATATGCGTTTTACTGCAAATTTCGAAAAGTGGTGAGTGGGATAAAAATGTAGTGAGAGTTAATCATCCAATCCTTGTAGCTTTTGTGTAACTCGATATTTAAATTTTGATTCAATTGTGCGTCGATATTTGAATTTTGACTTATTGCAACTTTTTACCTACTTAAATCTATAGTCCTTAAATTTTATGAAATATACAAGTTTATTTTTTAAAATATAAGTAAGGTTTTAAATGGTTAAAATTATAAGTATTGACTTGAGTCCAAGCTATAAAAATTAAGATCTAATTGTTAAATTAATTTTGGTATTAAATATAAGACTTATTTCTCATATTTATCAATTTGTTCTAAATTATCCTTATAGATATTTTCTCAACCATAATCAAGTAAGTTAGGGGGAAGGATATTAAGAAAAATGATTATGTTTTAGGAAAAACATGTCATTTCTTATAATTAACTAACTTTTCTAATTTTTTTAATCTAATCAAATTAACTAAATAGGTCTTATATTAAGAACAGGAGGAAGATTCATTTTTTCTCAAAAAATAACAATTCCTATGAAATTTATTTATCGGAAAAAATAATTTTACAGGTGGTTATACTTTTCCTTATTTTTTTTGTTGGCAAAAAATATACTTTTCCTTAATTTTTAATTTGCCATCTATACATTTTTTTTTACTTTATTAAATCTTTTAATTTGCTCTATTATTATTATTATTTGTCAAGCTCTATTATTACTATTAGCTCTATAACTTCGTTTTATTACTGAACAGTCCAACAACACTAAAGAATTTGATAAAGAAAGGGGGGAAAATATAGATACTAATGAAAAAAATTGAAACACAGTATGATACTTTTGAAAAAGGTTCTGTCTTATTTATTTCCTTGAATAATTTGTGTTTTATAGTGTCAAGCTCTGAAATGGCAAATAATATCAAACATTAATTCATAGCATGCAATGCATTATTTGAAGTGTTTGATGTGTGTGTGTGTAAATGGAGACACACATATCGGGATAGTTTTAGGTTGTGGTCAATCATGAAACATTAAATCATGATAATTTTTTCAAGAATTGATTAAATTGTTTCATACCAAAGATAATGTGGGATTATTTCTATAAATGTAAATATGTAATATGCTTTTGATGTTGGTTTTTACAGAAATTAATTTTAGACGATATGAAAATTTTTGTTTGGTAGAGGTTAGAAAAGATTATATTGGTATTGCAATGCCTTGTTTGGGCTTAAAGGGAGCCCAAATGTCCTTTGGTTGGCAAAAGAAGAAAGGGCTCACAAGCCCAGATTTTGTCAGCCGTAATTCCATTGATAAATGAGTTAGCCCTTAAATTGTATGAATAAAAAAATCACTATTTATGAGTCAATTTATGAAAAACAATCTACAATTGCAATTTAATTATAATTTATTTCTTATAAATAAGTTCATATGGAGTATTTTTAGGCATTTATATGGTTTTCAACAAACAATGAAATAAATTACTTGTTTCTTTAAAGCCATATTTGAAGCTATAAGGCGTGATTTTGTTAAAAGAAACAAGAATATTGTTTTGTTTTATGTTTGTTATTTGTTAGAAAATATTAGAGAAGATCCCATATAAATACCATTTGGATTCTAAAATTTCAAATTAGTCTTTCCAATTTCAGAAATGACAAAATAAGTTTACAGGTATTAAATTGGGATTTGCAAATTTTACCCAATTACCTCCATACCCTTTCTCTTGTTTTTCTTTTTATCTTCTCTCGCCCTTCAAGTTGCAGAATAAGAGAACATTCTTCTCTTTCCCTTCATGTCCCCTTCTCCGGCCCTACTTTCCTTCTCCAATCAACACTGTCACAGTCTAGTCACACCATTAGACTTCCCCTTCATCTTTAAGTTCCCTTCTACAAGGCTGGAAGCTCGTCTCTTCTCTTTCACTCACTCGCTTATCACTCCATCTCCTTCTCTAAGGAACCCCACATTATCTTCCTCATCTTTAGTTAATAGTTGCAGAATCTGCCTCGTGAACTTAGCGTAAAACACATCATCATCATTCTCTACTTTGTTTGTGGCCAAAGTTTTAGGTCCAAGCAATACAACTCTACGGATCTGTTTCTCAAATAGTGTCCAAGTTGGAAGAATGTGCTCATTTTCGTACGTTACAAGATGCCACTCTATTTGGATCTTTATTATTATTGTTTAATATTTTGGAGATAATCATTGAATCTATAAACTATCTGAGGTTTTGAGTTACTAAATCGAGTGGATTAGAATGGTTTTAAAAGCAGCCTTTGAGTGACATAACTGAAGATAATTAATTATTAATCATCAAGCATCAACTTTTGTATGCTTGAATATGTGTTTCATGCTGATAAAGTGATATTTGATAGCTTTTTTAATTTCATGGGAGATTTTCAACTTTTGTAATGAGATTGACAAGTTTAATAATATTATTAACTGCGAGTTTTTGAAATGAATTCAAAACTGGAGCAAATACCATGTTTCCTGCCCTCATTAAATTTCTCTTTTAATGTTATGAGATACGTTTTGTGGCTTCAATGACAAGAAAATACTTGATGTTGGTTTAATCTTAATATTAACTTATCATTTAAATATATGTAATATAATTACTATAATAGGATTACTGGTTTTTAGTAAATATTGTTACTTTAGTTGTCAATTTTATTGCAAATGTAGTAAATCATAAAAGTTACTATTAACATATTTATTATGATGTGCTTTAGTTGTATTAGTCTACATCTAATAATTTCTCAAAATATTTATTCCATTGTTTAATTCCCCCAAGAGATTATATTTAGTGGAAATTGACTAAGTCAATAGTATAAAAATGGTCCAATGCATATTTTAAGTTGTCAATCATACTACATATTTAGTTAATTTATCTAACTCAATCATCTTTAGATTGCACCATGTCTGGAAATAACTAATAATAAGTTGTAAAACGCGTTATGAAAAATGATAAAATGCATTTCATAAGTTGTCAATCACGTTATATACTTAGTAAAATTATTTGGAAATAGTTAATAACAAATTACAAAACACATTATGAAATAGTTAATTTCATTTCGCAAGTTATCAATCGCATTACATGTTTAGTAAAATTGTTTGAAAATGACTAATAACAGATAGCAAAGCGAGTTATAGTGATGGTCAAATTCATTTTTTAAGTTGTCAATCACATTATATGTTTAATAAAATTGTCTGAAAATGGTTAATAATAAGTTGCAAAACACATTATAAAAATAGTCAGATTTATTTTGCAAGTTATCATGTTACATGTTTAGTAAAATTGTTTGAAAATAGCTAATAACAAGTTCCAAAATGTGTTATGAAAATTGTTAATTTTATTTTGCAAATTGTTAGTCATGTTGCATATTTAATAACTTTGTTTGATTATAACCCTCGAGTTTCACCATATCTATAAATGACAACAAGCTTCAATTCAAAAGTTGTCAATTACTTTGTAAATGTTGTTAAAGGCTTGCTTGGTTATAATAACACCCAAAGAAAAAAAAACCTTTTAATGCTTTTCACCACATGCTCATTTAGTTTTTTTTTTCACTTATTTGCATGATTTATTTATCTTTTTAAATTTCAAAAGTTATTTTTGAGTCATTTTACCAAAACATTATTTCCCTCAAACGCTTGTTAAATTAAAAGCAATTTTGTCTCTTTTTTACTGTAAAGAAATCCCATTAAAGCTTTAATAAATCAAAAGATTTTTAAAAAAACTATATTTTAAGAACTCATAAAAGTGAAACCTTTGACTCAAAAAGTGATTTTAATAAATAATATCTAAATAAAATTGATTCTCCCAAAATCGCATTTTAAAACAAAATTAAAAAGAAAGTTTCTAGAAAATAGTACAGTCAATCAATCTTATTACTTTTAATCAAAATTACTTTGGAAAATTACATCTGACCAATTTAAGTCAAACAGACACGTTGCATATGGAAGAGACTTTTCTGTCTTCAGAAATGCATATAATTAATCGATTTATGAACTTTTTTCCAATGTGAAGGAGATATTTAGCCGCCAAAAGTAATTACATTATTTTAGAGTTCAATTAAAAAAAGGTATTTTCATATTAACTCAAATAAAACTATTTTTACATACTTATTTCATACATTGTAAAATCACTTTTAAAAACCTAATTCAAACACCCCTTAATTAAGTGAAGATATGATACATACATACTCATGATAAAAGATCATTAACTAATGTTAATGAATATGTGTTGACCAAAAAAAAAAGAACATGGAGCTTCATTAATTAATTAGTGAATATACCGAATCTAAAATACTTATTACAGAACATCGTCTTTTCAACAGGCTCGGTTATTAAAATACTTATTTTAATCAAGATTATGGCATTAAATAATCTGATTTCAACCATTAACTAATGATAATTAAATCAAATTCAGAATCTAAAGTTGATGGCTCCCACCGCGCCAAAAATGAGCAAATACATGCTTGTGCATTAATCCTATAGTTCTTAACATAGGATTTAATTAGCCAATTTGAATATATTATGAATATTAATTAAATTAGTTAATATAATTTGTACTTTTTAAAATACCATAAGCATCTATCTTAAGTCCGTCCCCCTCTCTCCTAATTGATTATTGTTAGGAGAATATTCCTAAGATTGATTTGAGAAAAAATTAATAAATATGTGAAATAAACTTTACATATAGGATCAATTCAACTTCCTAATTAGGTTTTACATTAATAACGAGATAAATAATTATTTAGCTATTGGCAATTTGGCACGTGCAGTCTAATTTGCATAGACCATTCGCATTGATATATTTTTCATCCATTCTTATAGATAAATAATTTTTATTTCATCAGAATTGAAGACAAATAGTAAGATTATTGATGTTGTTTGGAAAAACAAATTGTTTTTTTTAAATTTTCCATATTAAATGCGTCATCATTAAAAACACTCATCTCTCCTGTGCAACCTTTCTTCCTATTCATAAAAATCACACATAAGAAAAAAAATTTTTTTAAAAAAAAAGTAATTAACGTAAGCTCACTTCATTAATTTATTTTTTTTAACAGGAGGCTTATATATGTTTGTCTGTACACTACTTTAGTTTGACACTTTGACATATAGAAGAGGCTTTTTTCCCCTTAACATAAGTATAAATTTATTATATAAATGTATAATTTTATTGTTTAAAATAAGTATATATGTTAAGGGAGGTAAAGTTTAAAAATTATTATATCTTAAAACAAAATTACTAAGATTTAATTTTTTTCCAATTTGGATAAAACGTGTTAAAAATACCTCATAAATAAAATGGGATGATTATTATATTATTCTATTGCTTGCTCCACTATGAGATAATGAAGGGGCTCCAGTTGGGCAAAGTTGCATAGACTTTTTGTTTGTCTTTTCTCTTTTAGGTGGGAATTAAAGTCGCACTTCCCCACACTTTTTTCTCAAGAAAATTGTTCATCACCTTTTCTTCTTCAGACTTTTCCTCCACTTCTCTTATTATTCCCAATTATTGAAACAACCTCACTCTGCTTCCTCCAATATCTTCAATGTCTTACATAACATCTTACGCCTTGATGACCATGCCCCAAGAAACTTCTTCCACTTTTATGAATATTATATATATACACACACAAATTTGAATTGAATTGAATAATGTTCATTTGAATATTTTCAAAATGATGAGTAATGTTGTTCTTTTGGGGAGTGGATTAAAATTGTTCTAATATAACAAGTTATATGAGACAATCCCTTTTTCAACTTTTAAATAATATTAACTAATGTGAAAAGAAGTCTCACATTAAATATTATTGTTTGGAAAAAAAAAAGGGTGCGCGCTTGTATTAAAAAAATGCCTAATATTTAAATGCCTTAATATGTTGGGTCACATGATGATGTCAAACCTAATTATATGTCTTACTAAAATCCAATAATACAGAACGCTCAAAAAGATTTTTGTAACAGGTAATGCTCTCTCAATCCCAATTTTTAATTATATTTTTTTGAAAAAAAATAAATTCCGACCATTTAACAATTACTTTTTGGGCATTTATTAAAAAGTGAAAGGCCAAACAGGCAAAAGGGAAGGCAAAAGAAGGTGGGACAGAAACTCAGAAAGGCCACTAATGAATAATGGCTTCACATTAAAGTGGGACCCTCAGACAACCTTTGAATATAGAAATTGTGGCCACCTTGTTCTGATACCAACCATGAAATATCTCCTTGTTCCTTCCTTCCCTCACCTATGTACATCATCAGATGACCTCTGACATGCCTTCTTTGCCCATGTTTCTCTTTTCTTTTGGCCTAACTTCAGTTTTCAGAACCTTATCCGTATGTCTGTCAAATGGAGGTTTTCATTATTAAATCTCATTTACTTATGAGTGAAGTTCATAAATAACGTAGTAATTAAGCTAGCACAGAAAAATGTCTCCTCTTGTAGAATTAATGGAAAGTGGCAAGTGCTGGCTTAGAATAAAGGAAAAGAAGGGAGGAAAAAATAAAAGAAAAGTTAATGACTTTATTTTATATTTGGGATATGTCTGTTGTTCTGTGATCTTTATTCGAGCTTATCCGCTCAACTGGAGACCTTGTAACAAAGAAGTACATTCTTTCTCCTTTTTCTTGTGAGTTTTGCAGTCCTGGTTTTACAACTATCTCTAACACTTAATTAACTCCTGGGACTATGAAGAGTTCAGCTTGATGTCTTTTACATTATAAATGCCCCTGTCTTTGTATGACAACTCACCATAAAGTATTTGTGAACATACTTTAGACCAGGGAAGATGAAATAAAGCAAAGATGAAAATCTTTCGTGCAGCAAAATTCTGAACCTATGAAAGGAAGGCATGGTTGGCTTTCTGCTGGTCTGTGTACAAAGATTGAAGAGGGTTTATAATATATATATTTTTTTTTATATGGGGAAGTTCACATGCTTCAATTCTATACTTTATCATGATTTGAAGACGTATTTAGGAGTGGGAGATACTTCTGTTGTTATGTCTGAATATAAAGTTACTAAGTTTTCCTTGGAATTTCTTTGATCAGAGAAAAAAGTGCAAGAATAACAAAGAGGAAAGTATTTCCAGTTATTAGGCGAGCAAGTTGTATGAAGTCTATTCCTTCCTTGGGTATTTCTACTTTTAGTTTTTAAAATTAAGGGAAGTAGTTAGTAAGGGAAGCAGTTATTTTGTTGGGAACAAATTATAACAAAAAAAAATCATAATGCTCTGGGATTAACATTATTATATAAATGGAGAAAATCTCCAAAAGGAAACAACAAGAAACATTACAAGTTTATTTCAAGACAGATTTCAGTTTAAGAATCTCCTTTTCTTTTCCTCTCTCTTGTTCCCGAATTATTTTCCTCATTTCACATGTGTATGTACATATATTTACTAACAGATCATCTAAATCTGCAGCAAAACCATACCCGTTCACTATGACAGGCTCAACATTGCAGCTGGAGAAGCTAAGCTATGGTTCTGTTCCTAGGAATGCAGTAAAGAGGTAGGTCAGCAAAAATTTCCTGTGGGAAAATGCAAGAACTTGTTAGCAGCATGGACTTGCACTGGAATAATCTTCACTTTCGTTTCAAAGAGACCTCATCGGGAATCTGATGTAGCTTTTCCGTTAAGTCTGCTCATGGAAGGTAAGAGATCGTGATAAAGCCGCCGGGTTGGCTTGCAACACCAGTGATGGTTCAACCACGTGGTTCTTGACATCCCTCTTCGCAGGAAATGCCTTGAAAAGGCCTCCTCCATTCAGGGAAGTGGCCTTCTCATCCTTCATCCCTAATGCTGACCATATAGAACTCTTTGCAGCTTCATTGGGATCATCAACTCGTAACGTCTTTGGAATCAAGACACTGCTTTCTGAATTGCCACTCTCCATATTAGGATTTTCTTTTGGTGAGTTGACTTGATTGATAATGTTCCCTTCCCTCGAGTGTTTTCCCAGAGACGGTGAATTAGGGCCAGAGCTAGGGGCTGATTGGCCAACAGAAGATGATTGTGCAGATATGGAAGGTATGTTCCATGAAGCTGGTAAAGTACAACCCCAATAAATAGGATTGGGATAGAATGATGCCGGATAGCCTTGAGGACATAATCCGGGAGGAGGGACAGGAGAACTCCACTGCGCTGAGTTCCATTGATAAGGCCACGAGGAACCTGGGAAGCAAGGCAATTGAGGAGGGAAACCATGACTAATGTTATTTACAGGTTCTTGTGAAGCAGTGTTGCTTTTCCTCTCTGAAGAAGTTGAAGCTGTGCCAGAAGCTCCAACGGATTGATCATTCCCATTATCTTCTCTACCATAAGAGACAAAATTATTTTGCTCGGGTAAATGAAACCCATTTAGAACACCATTCTGTGTATTCTCTGCAAGGTTTAACACAGAAACCATGGAATCACAAAGAGGAGAATCTGTTCCAAAGGTCAAGACAGCCGCTCTATTTCCTAAAACAGCATTGTGCAATCCATTGGTAGAGTTTTCTTTGGCAATCTGAAGGGTCTTCGGAACCATTATTTGACGATACTGTGAGGCTGAAGAGTTTTTGTTCTTGCGACGACCTGCGCCTACAGGCACATTTCTCATGGTTCCTCCAGCAGTCCAGTATCTCTGGCAGTTCTTACAGAAATGACGGGGTTGATTGACATTGTAGTTGTTAAAATAACAGAATTTGGTGTCCATGCTATTGCATCTTGGGCATGGAAGTATCTTGTCAGGTTTTTTCGGAGTTTTGTCTTCTGAATTGCTTGTCTCACTCTGTTCTCCATTTTTAGCAGATTTGAGTAAAGAAGTCTCTCTTTCTGCAGAGGGAGTCTTAGGATCCTCAAGGACGCCTGAAGATGCTGAGGGAGATTTTAAATCCTCTGTGCTCTGATAGGAGGCATCATCTTCTTGTACTGAGGTAAGTTCATTCCTTGACAATTCCTAAAATCATAAGCGAATCAAGAATATTAAATATGACTTCAAACGTTAAATGAAAGGCAGGGAATTTACAGCTTCGATACAAGAATAAAATATGAAGCAGCAGCACAAGATTTTGCTGTTGATGAATTTCCAAAACAGAATACTGATATGTTATTTGCATACAATTTCTGAGGGAAAAAAAAATGTGACATAGTAAAAGAGTAAAAAATTAGATACCTGATTTTCTCCAAACCAATTACTTTCCAATTATGGAATTTCAGTTTATAAATGTCTCAGCTTCAATAAAATTGTTAAGTATCTTTATTTAACTTAGTGACCTTGATTCAACATAAGCAATATCAAGGAAACTTAAAGCAATTATAAAGGCTTGTTAAAACCTTACAAGAGGAGCAGGGAATCATTGGAGTTGTATTTTTCTAAACAATCAAGTTGACATTTGTCCTTTGTTAAAGAATAACGATTTTGACACCATATTCTATGATGGAAATAATAGAATACTTTACCTCCTCTTCTTAGAAATAAGAGGATAACAGAATGAACAATCTGCGAGTATAAGCATACAAATCTTATAGGAAAAATAACTAAAAAAAGCGGTAGAATCTGATCACTGAACAAGAATCCAAAACTTATAGAAATTAATGAAAGTTAAGACAAATCATATATAAATAAATATATATATTAACCTTTAAATGCACAAACACTCCAACCCCGACATATAAAGTAATATATAGAGAGAAAAGTATAGGAGTATAAAATAGTTCGTCAATAAAATACAAGCAAAAGTTTTGTTAAAGGACACAAGTCACAACGTTACAGATCATTTGGAAAAGTGTTGTTGTTATTCCAAAACGGAATAAATAATATAGACAAAATGTCACCCGCAAATGAAATCAGCTCCAATTGAAGTCCGCGGCGTAAAAAGCAACATGATAAGAGTTTGATAAAACAAGAAACTCAATAAGCAATCTCCAAACCATTGAAATGGTCGCATATGAGACGCAGCAAGAAATCCGAAATCAAATAAACAAAAGGAAAAAAAAAAAAAAACATGTTTTCTATTTGCAGGTGCATAGAAACCAGTTAAGAATCAAATTCACCACAGGTAAATCAGTAGAGGACTTCTTAAAGGCAGAACCATTATTAAAACTTGAGAAAACACTTTGAGGTACAGATCAAAGATTCAAAACAACTTGGTTTATAGAATTGAATCGACAAAACCAGAGCGAACGCGACCCAGAACACGACTGAACGATGAAACCTGAATGTCAGAAATGGATGAAGGAAGAAACAAACACGAGGGGAAAACTCAATAACTCATTAACCATCCGAAGCAACCTCATATATTTTGGAGATAGAATCGAATAAAAAGAAAGAAAATTTGGAGGAACCCATTAAGAATCAGGAGCATGAGAGACACGGGTGGCAGCTAGATTTGGGAAAGAAGGAAGGATATAAAACCTGAGGGCGGAGAGGGTGGTGGTGTATTGAAGAGCTGACTTCGCCAGGAGAAGAAGAGAAGGAAGGACGAGTTTGACCATCAGAGGAATCATTGAAGGAGAAGACATGGCGGTTGAGTGGGAGAGAAATCGTCCTCCCAAAAAGCTTAATCGCCGGATCTTTAAGCTCCGACATTTGTGTGTTATATTGCTGCTGCTACTCTTCAGGTTCAGGAATATCTCTGATGACCCCTTTCTCTCTCTTTCTCTGAGAAAAATAGGGGGACAAATTAAAAGAAAATAAGCAAGGGAGAGTATTTATAGGAAGAAGAAGAAGGAATGTGATGTGCGGGTTTTGGAGGGAGGATTGGTCGTTTGGGGGGAGGGGAAGTGGATAATGCGAGGGAAAGAGTGTGAAAACGGGGGAGGGGAAAGACACGTCAGCAAAAGCAGAAGGAAGGAGAGCCACAAGTTCTTGTGGCGTATGAGATCTTTGTGTGATGTTGGATTCCCTTCCCCTTGCCATGTTGCTTATAAGGATAGACACATACATAGTGCTCCTATGTACTATATTTTATATATTCATTCCTTTTTCTTACCCTTTTATCTTTTGTCTTTCTCTTTCTCTCTCTACATTTGTCATTTCTCTTTATTACATCCTTTTCTTTTCTTGCCTCCCGTCTTTGACCTTCCATCCCTGCTTTTCCATTTACATGTGGCTATTTTCTCCTTCCATTTTATATTTTATATAAGGTGAATCCCATAAAAATAGTTGTTAAATTTTAAAATTCTAAATTAGAAATTATTATAAAAACATGTTATTATTTATTTTTTTGAATATAATTATTTTCTTTACTAATATAGTAATTAATACCAATTTATAATTCTAAAATTCAACATTTTTTTAGAATTTTTCCTCTTATATAATTATGCAATATCTAATACTCTCTCTTCTTCCTAACATATAGCTAGTGAGATAGTTGAATTTAGTAATGAATATTATTTTACTTAATATAAGCCAATTGAATATTAAATTTAGTTCTAAATATAAGACTCTAATTTATTTGATTTTTAAAATTTATAATATTTTTTCTAAAATATCTCTATTAATTGTAAAAGATTTTCATCAAGGAATAGCACCAACACAGATGATTGAAGGTAGTTAAAGAAAGTCAATATATATTTATTATAACTAACTAATTTAACTAATTTTTTTAATTTTTTGAAATTAGTTATCCAGTTTTTTTTATTAAGAATTGAATGTAGTATAAGATTTTAACTAATTTTTTTCTCAAACTAATTTATCTAACTTGTTAACTAATACATAATCTAATGTTCTATAATAGTATTTTAAGGAGATTATGTCACATTTATTATAATTAAGTAATACATTTAATTTGGCCAAAAAACTACTCCCGCCGTTCCGTTTTATAACATACAATTAACTAAATCACATTATTCAAAAAATTAGTTAAAATTAGTTAGATGTAATAAATATGTAAAGGGTGTAACATTTTTGCCAACAATACCCTCATTTATGTGGAAGAGAGATAATGTGTGGGAGAAAGAATGAATAGGAATCAAATACAATTATATGAGTAATATGAGTAATTAAACAGAGATAAAATAGGACATCAACACACAAAATTTGAGACAATCTATAAGTGTCTCTTATAATAAAAAACATGATATACTTTACAATTATATTTTATAATAAGAAACAGAGGGAGCAGTGTATTTAATTTTTTTAATCTATTCAAATTAATTAATTAGTTCTTATATTAAAAATATGAGAAAATATTATTATAACAAATTCAGGCATGTTGGCTTCAATTAACAGCACTTAAGAAAAATTAGCTATCTTCTAGACTTAAACACTAGTTTTATCTTATCAATTTCATTAGAAAGACAACATTATTCGAGTTCTTAATATAATATTTACTTAATTAATTTAAATGTATTAAAAAATCAGTTATTTATAAAAAAATGTATTGGTTTTGTCAAAATATCCTTTTAAACCATTTGTAGTAAAACTATCCCTTGATACAAATTCTCTTAACATGTGTAGTCAATAAAAATATATAATTTGAAAAAGAATGATAATTATGAAAAATAAAATAGATTGAAATCTTATATTTAAAACCAAATTCAATCCCTAAATTAACTTATTATCATATCAGTAACCGGGTAGTATATAATTTTTTTCATTTAAATTCATTTTAATGGAGATGATCCACATATATATGTGTGTATGCATATGTGTATGTATAAGCGTGCGCACATACCCGTTGAAATTTCATTAGCTAATGGGAAAAATCTCATTTTATGACTAATAGTTTTATGGTTAATTAATTTTGGCCAAAAAAAATGGAAGTAATTAATTAAATGTTGGTCACTCCTTTTAAAGCATGTTTTGTGAGCAAAAATGACAACTTAATTATTGTTGCTTACGCTCCATGAAAGTATCCATATGAATATACTCCTCCGGTCTTAATTATAAGACCCAATTGATTTATTTGAGGAGATTAAGGAAGTAAGTTAAGTTGGTTATTTATAATAAATAAGTGTTGTCATTCCTAAAATATCCTTGCTAATTAAGTATATTGGCTAAAACTATCATTATTAGAAGGATTATCTTAAAAAAAATGCATAAATATAAGAGACAAAATGGATTGGGTCTTATAATTAGGACCAAATAAAAAGTCAAATTGGGTCTTATAATAAGGACCGGAGGAGTACGATAGATATTTGCTATACCTATGTTTCGCAGCAGATACTGCAAACTACATAAACTTTCTCTTTAAGAATTTTGGCAACCATCAACGACCTAATAATCGTTTTAATTAATTTATATCTTTTTATCTAATCACAATTACAAGTTTATTTTCATACAATATGTATCGATCACGTTACGTAAGTTAACACAAACCATACAAAACATAGATATAAATGCAGAAATGGATCTCACTTATTTTTTGTTAGGATTATTAATTTTTTGTCGTAAAGTTAGGGCTAGCTAATGTATTATATATCATTTCAAGTTTTATATAAGTGTAAAGACATTTTTAACACAAATTAAGAAAAGCTGTTATATTACTTTGTTTGTTCATAAACATTTAATGATACTCTTATAATTATAAATAAAAGAAGACTTCATAATATCCTCCTAAGTTCTGAGAAAATTTAAACTTTTATTTTTAAGAGAAACGCTTCATGAGGAGGGAGGAAAAATACCTCACAGGAGAACACAACAAAATACGCCGAATTTATTGATTTAAGTTCAAATCAATGTCGTTATCCGCTAAAGAACATTAAGTCTCAAAGCTAGGTTGAATATTATGAAACTTTTGAGATTTCTTAATCCAATTAATGGAAAACTACTTTAATAAAGTCCCAAAAAATGTCATTCTCATTCACACTATATCATAGAGTATGCGGATAAGATTGTTCAGCACTCTAAATTAATATATATATATATATATATATATATAAAATCAAACTCCCTCCTAACAATTTCTCTTTGTTGGTGGGCCCTCGCACCAATTTTTTTTTTTTTTTTTTATGTTACTCCCTCTTATCGTTTCTATAATATTTGAAAATTTGAATTGATTTGGTCATTTTTATGAGATCATACTTATTAGAGTCTCAATATTAAATGATTTTACCAATTTTACTCCAATTTAATTTTCTATTCTTTCTTGTCCATTTTTACTCATACTTCAATTTTATTTTGATTTTTTGTCTCATTGTTAGTACTCATTTATCTCTTATTTACTCCCTTATTAAATAATGACATATTCAGAAAAATAAGGTTCAATTTTAATATATTTATAAAAAAAAATTGTTTCCTTAAACTGCATAAGTTAGTTAAGATGATGTTATAAAAAGGGCGAGAGGCAATAATTGCCGCGTAATTTAAATAAATAAACATAAGAATGATTGTTTAAGTGTATAAAGTGGGCCTATGACACGTGGAAGGTAGTAGGACCAACAAAATATAGATTGCACAGCTCAGCAAGCATCTGCACGTGCCTCCTGCCACATCAACATGGGGGCTCCACGTGCTAAAAAGCGAAGTGAAAAGGTCATCAAAGCGAAGCCAGTCCATCGACGCCGTTGAAAATGAGCCAATGATACGGTGACACGTGCCAACCCGTGGGGAGCATCTCGGTGATTCTGAGAAGTTAGAGGGGTATTTTAGGAGGGGGAAGAATCTTGGGGTAGTGGTTGAGGTTTGCCGAAGAAGCGAGTGACATCCTCCAGTGGGCGACACGTGTCGACATCACTTGGTGGGGGTATTAATTTTAAAATACGGGGACCATATCTTTTTCTCTTATCCAATTAGGTCGCTTCTGATTTTTTTTTTAAGCAAAAATATGGCACTAACTTGTTATTTTAATCAAACCTCATTTCTTATCCTATTTTCATTAGCAGAGCCACTTGAAATTGACAACTTCTTTTTTTTTTAAATGAAATAAAATAAAATAACTACTAAAGGGGACACAATTCCATCTTCGTCTCATTGTTCTGCCTTTTTTCGCTTTTTCTTTTGAAAAAGACGAAGCTAAATTTTCTTTCAAATAAAGAAAGTCGTATTTTATTATCACAAATTGTCACGCGTCATTTTTTTCAAAGAACATTTAATCATGTTCCTATAATATTTTATTTTAAAATTTCTGTGAATATTTTTAATATCAATGTTTATTATTTATTGCCATGTTGTTTTTCTAGTGAGCATTGGAGGTTTTCTAGAAAACATTCTTTTCTTAGCAATAAGATGCTATCCTTCAACGGATAATTAGGGACTAATCCTCCTAACATGGAGAAATCAAGCATAAGTATATTAAGGGTTCAAATGCCTTGATGATATATATGTACGTGTGTGTATATAATTACGCATAACGTTTTGTACATTTTGAGCAAAGCTGGAAAACCACACTCTTTTGAAAGCTTAACGGAATTATTTACATAAATATAAGGTTT